CGGGTTTCTTTAAACTGCAAACCGGAAAAACGTAATTTGACCGTGGCAAAAACTTGCGGTCTCACCGGCTTGCGAACGCTGTTTTTCACCAGGGTTATTGAAATAAAGAAATCTCATTCGGACAATTGTTTATTTTAAATAAAATTTGTATTTTGTATAAAATTTGTATTTTATTTGATTTTTATTCGTTGTTACTTTATTTTAAATAATTTTATCGAAGTAATAATATATTTCAAAGATAAATTATTTTAATATTTATTATTTTATTTGATATTTAAATATTTATGTAATTTATGTTTGTATTATGTTTCTCGTATTTTTTCCATTTTCTTTTAATTTTGATTTAAAAAAAATCAAAGAATTTAAATGGTGAAGAATAAAATTTAAATGATGAAAACAAAAATTAATTAAATCATTTTTTTTATAAAATGATAAGTCAGAATAATATATTTATTCAAAATAAAACTTTCGTATTGAACAAAATAAACAAACTCATATTTTTGTTTATAAAAACTTTTGCTTTAGATATTTTATTATCTCAATTACTCAATTATCATTGATTATAATTAATTCAAAACTCAAGTATTACATATTTTGATTCTCAATAGATATCAATAATTTATAGATAACTGAAAGAGTTTTTGATTATATATTTCATTTTATTTTGTATTTCTTATTCGATATTTTATACGATAAATACTATTAATACTATTTTCTATTATTTTCTATTATTATATAGAAGATAAAATATAATTTAATCTTTTCATTGTCACAAATTTGCCCATTATATGAGACCAATGTTTATATTCCAAGATATGAGATATGTTTATATCTCAATTCTATATTTCCCTATAAACGTGCAAATTGAAGAAATTAGTTTAATATAAGTTCACTATGAACATAATGAATCCTTCATGTTGGCTGACAACAAATCTTTTTACACATAATTCTTTAATATATATCAAAAATTCAATGCTGAGCGACTATAATCGCCTTTGATATGCACAGAATGTTTATTGAGTGACTATACTTATTTTTAGTCAGTTAAATGTTGAATGTTTACCCTTAATATATAAGTATTTAATAAAAGTGATAATATTATATGTCTATAGTCATCTTTAATAAAAGTCAATCTATTATAATCAATGAATTATGGATATCAATTATGGATATATAGAAAATTATTTATTTCTGAAAATTTTCACATTCATACATTATATATTCATTCATTCATTATTGAATATTTTTAAAAGAATTGTTGTTATAGTATCTTTATCTGAAATACCAGGAAAAATCCAAGAGCACTGACAGATATGCGGTTGGTATTCAGTTTGCTAGTCACAAAGGCAAAGCGTGTCCGCAATCCTTGTAAGTTTATCCTCTTAAGAAGCTACTTGCGGTGTACTTTTATACGAAGCTCGGTCGGTATAAAAGAAAAGAGTATCAATGAAGAGAAAGCCGACTTTTAAAGATACAACTGTCTTCGACATGCATCGTTCGGGGTTATTTGCCACGAAGCACACGTGGTGTTACGCAACTGTTCCTCACTGTGTGTTAGAAAAACAAACGATGGAAAGAGAAATAATCGACGAAACACAAGAGAGACCGTTTGAAAAATTTGTTGATCAACTGTTACACTTATATGCGGCATTATTGAGTTCATAAGAATAATAAATAAAATGGAATCAGTGAATTATAGAGATAGATATAATTAAGTATAAAGTATTATTTAGATAAAGTTTAAGTATTATTCAGAAAAATATTTCAATAAACTTTATTTGTTATTGCATCAAACATTATTTGAATATATTTGAAAGTAAATATTAAATAAACTTAAAAAGTAAGTATTCGATTATTAAAAAAAATATCTGAATGTTAAAAATGTGAAATCCGCTCTATATCAAAATTCCATTGAAAATTTCAATTCCTCAGCATTCGATAAGTAACCACGTTGCACTTTTTTCCAAATATCCCAACTTCCACGATAATTTCTCACTGACACAGAATTCTTTATATTCACCTTCTAACTTCTCGACATGATTCAAAGAAGTCTGAGACACTGCGTAACGATGACGAGGCATCGATGGATGCCGTAGAAAAGTAGCCTTGACGTAAACAACTTTACCAGGAATGAAAACAACGGTACTCCCCTCTCCAACCGGAAGAAAGAACTAGCTTGCAACTAATATCTCCGTTACCAAATCTGTCGTCATTTCCGATAGATTATTAATAAAAATAAAAATTTCTTTAAAAAAAAATGTAAAATATATTTTTATGTATATCAATGATGAAATAATAATATTAATAAACGATTCAGTATAATCATTCATCAATAACTATCCATATCCATCAATTGGATTGGAACTTAAAATCTCAATAGATTTTTTGTCTCACTTTTTTGAAACGAATATGCGATTCTCTGAATCTGACAATTAAATATTATCGTGATAATATTATGTCGTAATATTTAATTGACACAAATATATTTTTTAAGATAGATCTGAAATTATTAGATTGGTAATTTCACAAAACTTCACAAAGACTGCGAAATATTTACATATCTAGAAGAAAATTTTAGCTATTTTTTTCAGTTAATAATCTTCAATAATCTTTATAAATATTTTCATCAGATTCAAAAGATTTTCAGTACCGTTATTACTTTCAATGATTATAATATTTTATCAATAATTATAATGTCGAATTTTGAAATGAAAAAAAACATTCTGCATATTATAAAAGAGACTTTTAAAAGATAGGAAAAACCTGATTCATGGTAATCGAAGTCATCATAAAACGATTCAACGATTAGTGGCAAAGGAAATACGGAATATAGAGGATAAGAGTTTGATCTATGCAGAATTAACAAAAACAAAGGAAAGTGGGAATAGAAAGACGACCATCGTTGAACGAAGAATGAATAATTAAACGGCGGAACGCGGTGATCGTGGATGGCAAAGATTCCATTATTATTACCCGATTCCGGTCGTAGTCTCGTAGGAAAGACTAAAAAGCCGTAACGTGGAATTTAACGAGTCTCGAACCTGCCTTCAATTAATTAAGCCAGACGTGACGCCAGTGGAATTGAAGCTCGTGCCGTGAAAACTCGTCGCGAACGCTCGTCAACGGGAACTGTCCCGATTCAAGCATTCGCACCGAATTTTGGCGAATCTAACGGCATCGTCTATAGTTCAACCGATGGAGAACCAGGCAAATCGGATTCTTCTTGATAAATCCTCGTTTTTATCGTCTCCACGCTCTAAATTCCGCGCATCAGTCTTGATAAACGGGCTTTATCCAGTTTTGTTTTTGGTAATTTGTATAATGAGAGGGAATTGATTCTTAAGGGATTGTTGCTTTGTAAGTCGAATCGGTAATTTTTTATAATAAATAAAATGTTCGAAAAGTTTAGTTTGGAAACGATCGAAAATTTTAATACTTAAATTTTTTAAATTTAAATTAATCAAGAAAATTAATTCTCAAAAATTGATCTTTACACAATTCTTGAAATTTTAAAATTAACTTTAAAGTTCAAGAGACGTTAAACTATAATAGAAAAGTATATATGTTTATAAACACGGCATAAATATAGATCTGAAAGATACACATATCTGTAACAAAATTTTCTAAACGAATGATGATTTTAAAATAATAAGAAACAAAAAATATACTATTATCGTTTTTTACCGCATCTTTTGAATATTTTTTGAATCACATAACTTTAACCTTGAATTATCTTCGTTAAATATGATAACAAATTAGAATATATTTGTTGTGCACAATTAACCTTTATGTTTGTATATATATATATGTATAACCTCAGTTTATATGAAATCAGGACGCGAATGAATAAAATAAAACAAATCGTTGGCAATAGTAACACAACTTTGCTTCCTCTATAATTTATAGTACTCAATTATGTTAAAAAAAAAAAAAGTTTTTTGTTTCAAAATAATATATTTATAATATATCTATCAAATACGACCTAACAATACAAGTCGAAGTGAATATACGATCATTGATTATGATGCTTTCGCTTTCAATCTTACTTGCCATAAAAAAAGCAACAAAAACTGTTTTGTTAATAAATACTATTTATATTTTAATGTAATTTGTAATAATAGTAATATAGACATTACATAAATAGAAGTATCGTGAATTTTTAGATATTTGAAACTTTTAATAACTTTATTTAGAAAAAAAAAACAATGTGCATCAACTAGCCGTTAAAAAAAAAGGAATTGCGAAAACAAGAGTGGAGAAAGGTTTGTTAATCATGTTCGAGTCAAGGTAGTTGTGTGACGCCGTGAAAGCGACGCCGGCGAGTCGCCTCTTTCACTGGCATCGTTGCCAGTGCGACGGTCGCTAGAAAATCCATTTAATATTAATAAAAATATAGAAAAATATCTATATTATATTTTATCATATATTATCAGATTTTTCCACTAGTTTTTTTATTAAATATTATTATACAAACAACACTAAGAACAATATTAATGCACAATCGTAATGGCAACGTTGAAACTTCGATGAGATGGCATAAAATTCCCACAAAAATTCCTTGATCAATATCGTAAAAGATTAAATAATCAATATTAAATTTTTTAACTATAATTAAAACGGTTAAACTTTTTATATTGTGTATGAATGTAACTGATAAAAAAAAATGTAATTGATTCAAATCACCACGTGACAAAACGAATCCTTTCTATGAATACTATAAAAATAAGATAACTATTGGTCACATCTTTTGAAGCCGCCGCTCTTCGCGATCGTCGTCGATCATGCCAATAGGAGAGAGTAAATATACTATCTGGAATTGTAGCTAGTCTCATGAGGGGGCCATACGGGTACACACACAACATGCGGTATGTGGTAGCAACTGGCGCGCCACGGGTTCATTGTCCCGTGTGTGCCCGTGGTGGAAGCCCCTCGTTGAAAAGGAGGGCCCGTGTATCGGGCGTAATATGTCGACGAAATATCGGACATCATAGGGAACTTACCAGTTATCCAACTTGATCAGCTCCTCGGGTTTTTTCGTCTTATGATCAGCCTTGAGTCTGAGGGCTTGCGGATAAAGCTTCAGGACGTGTTCGAACTGACTCGCTGTGCCCTCCGCGAAGAAAGTTGCTGTGTCTTTCACGGAAGCCATTGTGATAACTGAGCTTCGACGAACGGCCGTTGGGGCGCAGCACTAACGCCTATGTGCACTATACACGTCTTTGTCGCTCCCCCTCAAGAGTCTCTATCCTCTTTCTCTTTCTCTTTCCTCTTCTATCTTCGTCCAGCGATGTCTCACTTTCTTTCCTTCTCCCTCTCTCACTTCTCCGTGCACCCCTCTCCGCGCGTGCCACGGGAGAGGACCGACCACGCGAGAAATCCTATTTTACCCTCTGACTCGTTCGAATTCTCTCGGTTTCACCGGCGGCGGTGATACGCGACACACGCGTGGGACGCGTTCACGATCGGCGCACACACAGTTGATCGGTGAGAAAGAAAATATCGACGATAGCACGCGTATAAAGCGGACTTCACTACCAGTCTCTTTCTATCTCTTTCTCCTTCTGGCTGTTTTTCGATTTCCTTGAAATATATTTCTTCACGTTTCCAGGATGATATTCTAGCTTGATACTAGTCACGATGTATTATACGTACAGAGATGTTTACACGGAACGTGATGTGTTGCAGAGCTACGAGGTCTCGTGCGTACACTCTCGTAAGGGAAAATCACCGTAGCTGCACGCCGAGAACTCGCCTTCGGACCTCGTTCGACTGTCCCGGGTGGGGAGCGCGACTCGACGTCGCCAATAGGGAGCAGCACTGCTCGGCGTGTTTCTGATTTCTCTCTTTTCCCCTTAATACCTCTCTCTCTTTCTCCGTCACGTCCTTCCACCTCTTTTCCACCACCCTTATTATTTGTACAGAAAATTTCAACCGTTGCGTGCGGGCACGCATGCACGAGGATCAACGATACGGGATAACGATAAATAATAGGATCAACTTCTATAAAAGTAATATTACAATTTTATTCTTTTAAATACGACAATAAAGGGAACGTGAAAGATACGCGGCAATCGGAACGCAAAGAACCTCCTTTCTCCTCTCAAGTCTCTGTCGAGCACTTGAGAACACCCGGGTTTCCCTCGGCGCCAGATCCTTCTTCTTTTTTTTCCCTCGCTCTCTCAGAGAGCTTCGTACGAATACATGCGGTTTCCCCGCCGGATGTCCGCGAAGTATAGACTGTCTCCCCCACCTCTTAGTACTCTTCGTACTCACACATCTATAGTAGAACTCTCGGAATACACACGGCTTCTAGCGTACTTCAATCGTCCGCGCGACTATACACGCGAGTTCCGTAAGGGTACGTACCCCCTTTTCGCTCTATTTACTCACGATTGTTTTTGATTCTCGTGTTTGCCAGGACTTGTTGTATGGACGGTTCTCATATAATTGTTTATATACCTTCGAGTCAAGCAGAAAAATTTCACGCTGAAGCGTCGACAAAATCCCGTTGACGATCTCATCGACGACAAAGATGACGGTGATGATGATGAAGACAACAAGGACAGCGATGAACGGCCGCTGTCTTTTTCCTTCGCGAGAAATGGCCTCGGTTTAACTCTATCACACGTCCACCTCCGTACGAATCACCACGTTCGATGGCTATGTACGCGCGCCTGTCTCTGCACGACTCCTCACACTGTGTCTCTCTGTCTGCCTATTTGGTTGAGCGCGTGTGAGTGCGCGCGCGCATACTCACGACCGACCGACCGAGCGAGCGAAAGAGCGGGCAGAACGAAGCTCGAAGCCTTCACTCGAAAAACGGGAACACACGGAGTGTAGTGCGCGCTTAAGCAAAGACCACGTATAGCCAATCGTTTGCTCTCACTGTATACTGACTGTAGTGAAACGGCCGACCGACTGAGGGCAGCGCCTTCGCTGCCTTCTGCTCGTCCCCTTTTCCTCTTACCTCTCGGGACTCTGCACCACCACTAAAGCGCCCGACCCTATCTCCCCTCTACATAGATCCGCTCCCACTCATTTCCCCTCTCTCTCTTTCTCTCTCCTAGCCTTCTATATATCTCTATTTCTCTTTTATTTCTGATCTATTTTTCCTAATACGTAAAACGAAGAAATAGAAGTAATGTGAAATGCATTTTATCATATATAATATTTCATCGTTGTGAAATTCGTTTTGACGACAAACTGTATTATTTCTCGCGCGACCCCTCTTCGTAGACTCTCACGAGCAGCGGACGCGCTCGATACCTCCTCGTGAAGGCGCGCACCGTTCGCTCGATCGCGCTGGGTCGTCCGACTGGAAATCGATGCTAAAGCCGGGGTAGAGGCGCGCCAGTGGTGCCGTACCACGGCTGGCACACACTGTGTGCTCTAACACAACTTCGATACCATCGTGTGCGCGCTTTACGTGATCACACCGTCATACTCTATACTGAGCAAGATTAAATGGTGTGGGTTGACGGCATGTGTACACAGGGCGGAGTTTGTGTGCAACGCGTCACGGCTACGGATATACATGCGCCAGAAGTGGCTCGAATACGCACAAAAGGGCATATGCGGTAAGAAGACTCTTGCAACCCTTGTGGGATACGAACATTTTGAAAAAGTCTACATGCTTTGAACTCCTGAAAGGACGATGATTGGACGATTGTAAAGTGTAGAGGGGGATAAACGTGTTTTTTTATGCTTGTGGAGGAAAATCACGAGACGGATGCCGGAGCTGTTGCGAAACGAGCGATTTCACAATTTTGTAAATGCGACGACATGCGCTGTACTTCCGTGCTTACGAGCTTAAATAATCGTTTCGCGAATCGACGGCAACTTGAAATTTAATTAAAAAAACTATATCATAGGATTGGTATTTTTTTTACAATAATATATTATTATAATAATAATTTTTAATCTTTTTCATATCAAGCAAAATTTGTAAAATTTACTATTTAAATTTTTGAATTAGTGAAATAACTGTTGTCCTCACAATCTGTTAATTTTGCATTTCTTTATTTTTTTCTTGCTACTGTCCGCGATTGTTGTACAAAATTATAAGCAAGAAAATTATGTTTTTTTCTTCAAAACTTTTTTTGTTATATATATATATATATCGCGTATAAGGGTTTGTTTCTGCTATACGTGTGCATATATGTACATAGACGTAAGAGAACGGACGTTCTTTGTAATCTAATATACCCTTACACCGTCGTACATCCATGCTATGCTATGCGATAGTGTGTTGCTGTGTAATCATTCGCAAGTAAGTGTTAGTCAACGATACTGGTGTATTCGTGTATAGTCTATATCGTCGGGAGATCTCGCTTCGCTGCCAGTCCATGAGTACCATAGCGAACGGCTCACTACCAATGTCAGCATTACTACTACCGATATACCGTATAGCTGTATAGTCAGTCAAGTGTACTGGTGGAAAGTGCCGAGCGAGCGCTTGCGCTTCGGTAACTTTCCATTGTCGTTGTTTCTGCACAGCAAGAACGAAGAAACTTACAGAGAATCTTTCGAAACTGGGAAATTACAAATTGCTATCCTAACCTCAAAACATCTAAGAAACATATCATTTGAACAATTACATTTTTCTAGATGATATTCTTTTTATTTCGAATTTTTAGAATATAGCGAATTTCAGAATATAAACAAAATATTATTTCAAATTTCAAAATCCTATTCCTTTTTTATTTCTATTCAAAACCTCTATTTTATTATCTTTATTTCAGAATATAACAGAATAAAAATTATTATTGCTTTTAAAATTTTCTTCATTTCTTTACAATTTTCATAAGAATTAAAGTTTTGTTTGTACAAAATTTAATTTATTTTTAATATTTGTTTTTTTGCTTATTGAAATTATTATTATTAAGCACATTGTTTCAAATCCTATAATAATAAACTATCCACAAATTAAGATTTTAATATTTTAAAATAAAAAATGTGTAATTTTTAAAAATTGCTTTTTCAATAAAATTGTAAATATTATAAAATATTAAAAAATTGTAAATATATTAAAATATTATTTGTCTTTATTATTAAAATATGTTAAAATTAAATTACAAAACTGATTGTTTCTATCCTTCTATCTCTAATCGTATTTTGTATGTGAAAATTTACTGTTTACATGATTTTAAATACCCATGGGATGAGGAGAATCTCGTAATTAATACGCGGGGGAATATTCGGTGGTGAGAAACGATTATTGGAACTCAACCCCGTAGGCCTAGAATGAATTGTGGGTAATGTTACGGGGGGACAGATCGAGGAGAGAAAGGCCGGTTTTCTTCTGAAGCGCGTTTTAGCAAGCAGCAGAACCAGGCAGTCAGCCATAAGCCCCGCATCATGGCCGTCGACTCACCGTTATGTGCCGAGCATCGGTGAAGCCCTCGTGCCCCCTATACAAAAGAGAGAGGCCCGACCCCCTCTGTCCCTCGGGCGCTTGAAATTCAACCCCGGCACTGTCGGTTGGTGCAGGGTTGCCAGATCATATTGCGAACGCGACGTTGCAACGCGCCGTTATCGATGCTTACCGCACACCCGGACAATCACCTAACCTCAAATTCAGCTGTAGAACGAGTGTAGCTCACTTCTGTTATCAACAACGTCAAGCTTCAGAATACCCTTGTCTAAATTGAATAAGTGGTTTTCAAAAGCGCCGCAAACTATGTATTTTTGAATATATTTTCTTTTATTTGTTTGTTATTTCTTTTTTATTTAATTGAATATTCGTCATTTACTAATAGCTGCTCCTATTATTAAAATATTTTATATTATAGTGTGTGAAAGTATTAAAAAAAAATGAATAAAATAAAATGAAAATTATTTTATGATAGAATTATTGTATATTTAAAGCTATACCAAGATTCCATTGTGAATGCATTATTATAGAACATATGTTTCATAGATTCTACACCTTCTGTTGACACTTCCAAAGAGCGATCCGCTAATTATTTGTCGTCAGCAACAGGTCATACTCTCTTTTCTTGTCTATCCGGAAGTCTGTGCACATATAGAATAATAATATAGTGTCTTATAGAATAATAAATAACATCATGTATGTAGGGTATATTGCATATTATATTTTTATTTTTCATAGAAAATTTTTTTTTCCCAAATTTTATTATTTGATGAATAAATATATTAGTTTTATGTATAAATTATTGAAAAAATAATAATAATTTACGATTGTTAAATATTTATCAATAAAATATAATATAAATATAAAATGATATTTCCATGACATTTAAAAAGCCTAAAATTCCATGATATATTTAAGCCCATGTGAAATAGGAACAGAATTTTTATCCGACAATCATGACTGGCATGAAATTGTGACTAACAAAAGAGAACAATGGAAAAATGATCGGAAGGTGTAGTCATAACTGCATAGCACCGTGTTGCGGCTCAAAATACGCTTCGTATACGAACTGACTATTGCTTCGTTCGATACGAACACGTGTTCTCGATGCGGCTACTATACGATATTGTCGCAAAATGACATGTGGGCCACGGTGCGGCAGAATGTGCGCGGACGAAGCATAAGGTCTGACAGTCGAGGGACGGGCATGGAGCTCCGCTTTATCGTGAGCCAATCCGAGAGCTCTGACCTTGAGTAACTCTAGAGAGAGAGATATATTTAGCTGTGAGCAGTTCGAGGTGCTGCTAGCTAGCTCTCCCTTACACTCTAAAGTCTCTCTTTAGAGTAGATACTCGCAGCGGTGGATTATAACGAGGGAGTTTCGTCAAGGGAAACTCCAGACATAGAGTTGTCCTTCCATATCTTTTTGATAGATTAGAATTCAAAATTATTACAATTATGAAAAGAAAAAGATATTAAAAATAAAAAGTTTAAAAAATTGATTTTCTTTTGTATTTTATTCAAAGTTCACAAAATTTTTTAAAGTGATTGAAATAAATGATGTCAAATTGTTACTTAATATTAAATTTCTTATCTGTTAAAGAAAATCTTTAAAATGATATTTATCGTCTTTAATATTAAATAAAAAAAACACATTACAATTTTTTAATGAAAAATCTTTCTTCCTATGAACAAAACAGTTCAAAGTTCCTGTAAAAATTAAAATTCTTTCGAGATAATTTTTTCTATGAGTTGCGACATAGATTTCTATTTTTTAAATTTCTTTTTTTTTTTTGATTTCTTATATAAATATTTGTAAATGTTTGGTTTTTGTTAAGAATAATTAAGAATTTTCTTTTCAAAATAATTTTAAATATTTTCTACTCTCTGTAGGTTGTTATTACAGGATTATCTACTTACTAACAAGGATGTTGCGCGTGAGCAACTTTAAGAAGGGCGATGAAAGTAGGTCTCTGCAATAATTCACCATTTTTTCAAATTCCATTTTCTGTTATATCTTTGATTAATATATTGATTCATCTAAAATATAATTTGCAATTATTCTAATGATTTTGTCTATTTTATTTTATACATTTAAGTAATATTTCAAACTAAAATATGAAATTAAAAATTCTCTGAAACACATGTGGATTTTAAAATAGTTTTAAATAATATATTGATTATTACCGATGTTTTGTCGTTTTCAGGGACATTTGATTATTTTGGAATGTTGTATCGTGAACAGCTAGGTGATGATGATGAGTTTAAAACCAGTTCTCCTTGGATGCTTTGAGGGGCCAAGAGTTTCATGAGATATTCAGGATTACTCGCCCCCGTTTCCGTGAATCTTTGGAGCGTTATGAGACAATTAGACAATTCCAAATTATAGCTTACTTCCGACAACTATCTCCGTTGTTCATCTATGAACTTTCCTGCAATTTGGAAGCAATTACATGTAAAAAAAAGTTATAAACTGTATATGATATATTATTTGTTATAAGAAAGGCATAAAACATTATCATTATTATATAAATATTATAAAATATAATTTTTTTACTATTTATACTATATTATTATTATATACTGTAAAATAAAAGTTAAACTATTGAATGAATTGCTTCATAGTACAATTTGTTCAATAGTTCTGTAATACCATCTTGTGAATTACATCTATTTGACATCGAAACATAAATTGAATTGGGAAAATGAAGGACGGATGAACATTGTATTGACTTACAAATTCCATTATATTCTCATATAACATCAATTTCATTATACAATTTAAAATGAATATTGTTTGAAACCGACATAATAACTGTGATATCTCATTGCATTTATACCTGTTTACTCCGAACAAAATACATTTATCAGTTAGTGATAGCGCTATACTTTAGATAGCTTGATTTGCTATCTAAATCTTACAAATTTCTTTCAGAATTTTACTCTTAACAAATAATTTAAAAAACAGCCATTTTTAAAGAGACGTGTACTTACAAATAAAAATATGCATAATCCATCCTTTATTTTTTCCAATTCCTCGAATTAAATAATAAAAATGAGATACATAACAACGGGCAATCGTGGTATTTTCAAAAAATCACGTATGTACACACTTTCTGATTCCAATGCAGATATCGGCTCGTGACATTCGAAAATCCGGCACACAGAGCAACAAGTCCTTCGGTGCAAGATCGATCCATCCGATCGATCAAAGTGGCGCGTGGCAATGCCACTTCGAATTTCCACGAGATCTATTTACACGGAACACCAATAGTTCGATGCGCAACAGGCGAACCGAGATTTCACTCTCTTACAAGAGAGTGCGACACACACACACATATATATATATGTATATATATATGTATATATATATGTATATATACACACATATATAACGAGAGAAAGAGAAAGAGAGAAAGGGGGTAGGAGTCAGAGAGCGAGAGAACAGGTTGGAAAAAGAAGTGAGATGGAAGAAACGAGAGTGATAGGGGCGAGAAGAGAGTGAGATAGAATGCTCCAGGAATGCTAGAATGAGATGAGATACACAACACAGGAGAGACTGAGGAAGAGGGAGAATTACAAGAGAGCAAGAACAGGAGATCGACAAGAGAGAGGGATAAAGAGGATATGGGACCGAAGAGGAGGCAGAGTGAAAAAGATAGAGAGTGAGAAAGGCTACAAGTCTGTGCGGTATTCCTTTCAGTGTGATTGTCATTCATGCATTGTGAATCAGGGACTTTATTTTTAGAAGCGACTGAATGAAAGTGGAGTACCCCGTAGTAGTAGTATAATGTCAATGGTAGGAGGAAGAAGTGGTGAAGGAGGAGGAGGAGGAGGAGGAGGTGGTGGAAGAGGTGGAGGAGGAGGAACGACGAAGAGGAGGAGAATGAGGAAGAGAAGTACGCGATAGAGGGAAGGGGTGCAAGAGAAAGAAAGACAGCCCATCGACGAGAAAGAGGGCGAGGGAGGGAATGAGGAAGACGTTCCACCGATCTGCGAGTAAATCGTACTACGTCCTCACACGTGCTTGCTCTCCCTCCTCCGTCACCCTTTTCCCCCTTTTCGCCACTACCACAACGATCACCACCACCCTCAGTCAACGACACAAACTGCGGGACACGCGAACGCAGAAAACACACGCACGTGCCCACTCGGACGCGGATGTCGTTTACCTATACCCCTATGAATCGTGACGGAGAATCGGTAGAGATGGAGAGTGGCGAGATGGAAAGCATGTACAGTTGTTGGAAAGAATCCAGAAGAGATTATAAAATCAGCTGATTAATATTGATACATTTGCATCATGATTATTTAAAGAAGAATTTTCTAATCTCTATCAGATTTGTAAAGAATACAAAGCTCTGTTACTCTTTAATAGTATGATTTGTTTTGATAATAATAATAGTAATATTGTATAAGATCTTTGGATGATCTTTTATTAAGAAAGCAAATGAATTCCACATTGCAATATTCAATTATAATTGAAAATTTCACCTTTAATTTAATATTTTACTATAAGAATCCTATTTTTTTATAATATTTATCAATAAATTCCTCTAAAACTATAGAAATCATGCACTAAAACGTGAAATCTCTTAGTTTGCAATAGAGATAATTCAATGTATTCTATAGTATCTGGTTTTGACATATAGTATCATAACATCAAAAACGCTTAACACATAACAGGGTTAAATTTCCAGGCATCCATCCCATAGATCATAAAACAAAACAAAACCGTCCTTCCGTAATGTATCATTCATTGTAATATATCTCAATGAAAGCTTTCGAAAATTGGGTCTCGCAAGGAGATTCAGAAGATAAAGAGGCAGACAGACGAAATAACTGACGAGGTCACGGCTGACGAAAGTGAGACAAGGAAAGAGATGCCCGCACATACACACATACATGTATACAGCGACGGCGTGCGTAAGCAACGATCCAATAAATAGTAGGATCATTGACACCGTCCGCGTGGCTGGGCTTCAACCGACGCGTACTACGATGTTTACAGTTTAATTCGAGATACTCGAAATGTCACGTGCGCACGTTAGGCGTACTATTCACGATAAACGTGAGTCTTTCCGCCCGGAGGAGAGGGAACGAGAGCGGGTCTTGAGGGGATAGAAGGGGCAGATGATTTGACAAATTGCTCGTGAAATGAGTCACTGAGAACGCCTTGCGTTCATTCGTGTATTCTCTTTAGGATGTTTCTCTTCTCTCTCGTAGCTCAGTCGTGATACATACATGTATATATATATATAATATACTCAAGGTCCACCAACTACACACAACATTCCCGTTATCTGAATTGGATTATCAAACTGCGTGCAGCCTTGACCCAGGACAAACTCTTATCTCGTATGTATGTAAACAGAACGGCATGCATTCGATTTGCGTCACATATCCTGCACAGTGCCTCGAACCTGGCCTGTATTGCAATGCGTCTGCACGTGATGGGATTCGATGATGTTCTTCTGTTTCGATAATGTAACTTGTTTCTCCAAAGAATTTCTAGATGAACGAAATGTTCGTGGATTAACAAGAATATAAAATAAAAATTTAAAACAAATCCTCATTTTCTGAATTATATTTGATAAATTGAATTAAGATATATTTAATTGAATATAAGAATTGATAGTGAAATGAAAATCCTTGATTCTATAAAAAAAATTAAATAAAAATCAAGTAAATTTTTGTTAAATTTAATCTTTCTTAGGTAAAAAAAAAATAACAGTAATAAATGCAACCTGTTTCAAGCAACGTGAATGAACTAGGGTTAGTTATCGGTATGCATGTAGATAAGAGTTTTCATGAATGGACGCTTATTTTTTTTCCTTGCCGTAATGCCATCGTGCTTACGTGAATGGATGCGATGTTAATTGTCCATGCACTTTTACGAGATGAAACTCGGTTGATCCCAATATGAATAGGTGAATATTGAAGTGTGTGGTAAAAAAAACTAAAAAAAAAAAAGAAAAGAGTTTAAAAATATTAAGATTATATTAAACTAAAATGCAATTTAAAAATTTATAAAAAATTAAATTTAGCAATAATTTAAATATAATGATTTATAAAATTAGAAATTAAATAACTAAATAAATATTATTATTAGATAATCCAATTTAAAAATTGGAACAAAAAGATTCAAAAAATAAAAAATAAAATATTATAAAATATTTATAACATCATTTTTATGATTGTATAATAATTACTATAATCATTATAATTATCTTATCGTTTATCCTCTTCTTAAACATTCATGCAATCGTTATTTAATTTCATTCAAAATCTGAAAACATTGAATATTCATTTTCATTTATAATATAATAATTATATATGTATTTTTTTAGAAATTTTTCTAGAATAAAGCATTTGTGAAATCTGAGCGTAATATATATAATATAACAGTGATATTAAAATATAAATATTTGTTTCGTTTAAAATAATTTAATTTTTATGATAGTAAAAAAAAAATGATTTTAGATTCATGATGATTCATCTGGCAAATATATATTTTTTGTATTCAATGCATTCGAATATTCATTTGTTTATATAAATAAAATATAAAATTAGAAAGATTTTTAATCTTTAATATGCTTATTCATCAAAATTTTTATGTAATAATATTCCAATGCACCATTATTACTTACAATATTCCATATTAGTAAATATAAAAATTTTGAGATCAATGTAATGTATTTATTATTTATGTTTATCAAAATTGAAAAATTCAATTATAACTCGAATCGTTGATTTAATGATTAATGATACATAATGTAAAAATATACTACAATCTAAACGCAGTGTGGATGAATGTCTGAATCATTGGTTAGAACTCGTTAAGCAAGATTGCAAGATAGTCAAGAAGCGATGTTTGCCCAGAAGAGAGACTGAAATTGAGATGAGCATAAGATCAAGTTGCATATCTCGTATTCCGGATTCTGATTTCTCTACAAGCGAACAAGTAAGATTTCAAATAAAATCTCATTGACCACGAGGCGAAATGTTATCTTTTATATACTAGAATTACGCATTTGGGAGAAGTTAGACTGTAGCGATGATAAGATAACATGTTCTCGATTGGTTCGTTAATATGTTTCCAACACCTAAAATATTTAATAATATTTATTTTAATGATAGAAATAATTATTTATTTTTCTTAATAACAAATGATCAATTTTAAAAACAATTTATACTTATAAATATATTTTTGATTATCTATTTGAAAAAGTGATTGTTTGTATCAGCAATTTTATTATCATTGAATATAACAATGAATATAGATAATTTGAATTCATATATTTCAAAATATATTTATCTTTATTTAAATTACTTTTAATTTCAATATTAAAATATCTTTTTTCATCTGTACATAGTATTAATTCTTTGTTTTTAATGTTACATTATTCTAACATTTTAATATTTTATTTATTTTATTATTATTTATAATTATTTATTATCAAATTCTATATTATTTTTGATAATAATTCAATAATAGTGATCAGAATGAATACTTTAACTAACATTCTATTAATTACCAGCAATGATATAAATTATTAGGTAATTAATTACTAAATATGATTTTTTATCCCTACTTTGTACTTTCCTATTTTGTCCACACTTGAAACACGATCATTCCATTTCAATACCAATCTTAACAACGTATTAAAAGCTGGACATCAACTGCGTTATCCGCAGGCGCGTGGAGATGAATTGATTTTTAAAATCGGCTCGCTCGACATCTCGACGACTCGTCCGTGAAGATATTGCCTTCATGCTGATCACGAGTCACCAATAACATTCGTCAGCGATAAATCGACGTTGTGCAACCATATCGTTCCATGCATCATGAAAACAAATCGCTGACGTTTGACACTGAACTCTTTCGACGACATGTGTCGACGTATGTACTATTATCGTGTGTCCTGATGACAGATTCCTTTGTGACGAACGTCTTCGATTCGCATGTTGCCCGAATAGTCGAAATAAAATTAACCCCTTGAGGGATGCGGTATTCGGTGCAGCCGTCTGAAAAAATTCACCGTGGAAAGGGAGTTGAGCAAACAAAGTTAAGTGCAACAAAGGAAACATACGTGAAGATTCATGAGTATGGAAGTTCTATTAAAAATTTTAATTGCATAATAGTGTATTTTCTTTCAAGATTCATAGTTCTGTTCATAAAAATAGGAAGAAGCTAATATCATTTAAGATTTCTTATGTTGTATTTTCTATTTGATGCTAATTGATATTCAAGTTAATATTGAAAATTAAAATGTAATTGTAAGATATTTTCTAATAACATTTTCTTCTATTCGATATATACTTTTTGAACAATAAAAAATTCATGTTTTTATATAATTAAATAGCTTAGTTTCAAAAGAAAGTTTTAATTATATACATTTATGCAGGCAATTACAATTACAGTCTTTTAGATTTTTTACATAATACATAATTCTTACACGTCAGTTGACGTCATTTTACGCAATGATGGATATGAATCATTATCGACACATGCTATAGGTTATTTAAAATATCACTATTATGTTTCATTCACAAATTTCACAACAAATATATTTTTCCATTTTCAAGAAAGAAATTACATAAGTATATATTTTAAAGTAATTGAAAATTTATGGCAGAAACTACATATACTAATTATAGATAATTACATAGATAATTTTCTGTCACATTTTAAAAGCTTCATTTAACTTTCTAAATGCAATAACAAGAAAATAATAAAAATATATATTATATAATTAAATCCATGCAATAATATTAATATGTTTAAAATTATGTTTAAAATTAAAAGGAAATTAAATGCACTATTGATATATTGATCGTCAAATTTAAAAATAAAAAGAGTCAGAATCAAAATATAAAAATTTGGTGTTGTGAAGCAACATTAATGTAATGATAAAATTGAATGAAATATAAAAAAATTAACATAGTAATTGACGAATCGCTGAACGAATGAGTTCAGTCAAATCATTTCTTTTTACATTTTACGTACAAATTGTAAACTTTATCATATCCGATTAATCTATAGTTACAGATTTGACTTATACTGATTTGAATACTACCTTGGATATTGTCAATCTCGGTCGGTAATTACGAAAGTCAATTTTGCAGGTTCACTCTTCTCTTATCTACCCGACCTCTTCGAGTGGAAGTCAAGTATATTATCTCTCATTATTGTTGAGTTTTGCTGCAGCATTGAAGACAACTAAAGGATTACATTTTGCATGATAATATAAAACAAAATGTATTTAAAAAAATAAATATTTGTAGCAATTGTAATCATATATAACAAACATTTAAAGAACAAACATTTAAAGAATATAAAAATATCAAGATATACGAAAATATATTCCATTTATAACATACATACAATACAAAATATTATGTATATGTATATATATATATATATATATATATATATACTAAATAGTAGTAATTATTAAAAAAAGATTTAGTGTGGAATATTTAATTTCTATATTATATCGAAACTTTACAATAACAAAAATTCTACATCAATGCGCATGCGCATTAAAACGAAACTAATTTTTTAAATATTTATTAATATATAAGATTTTATATTTAATTTTCTTTTTTAATCGATTTTTCTTTATAATCTATCGTTATTTCTATAAAATTATTTCTGAAATATATAAAAATATTAAGTAAATAAGTCTGATAACTTTTTGTGATCGTAAATGTTTCACCATATTACTGTTCCTTCGTAGACTATCATAGTTCTGTGCCAACGCAGCACACGTAAGTAAGTACGTACTTACGTACATACGTATCAGTGGATATACTGAGATCAGACTATGGATTATAATCTCGCTCTCTCTACAAGGATGCCATGCTCCGCGGTTTGCGCTAATGAACCAGCAAGCCTTTATGATGGTTTTATTCTCTTACGTCACCAGATTCATCGGTATGGCCTCGGTTCGCACGTAACGCCGGACCTCTGGCGGCTTATTCTGGAAGCAGGCCAGCTAGGACGCGCCAAGCTAACGAGTTTTTTTCCGGTGATAAAGGCTGACGTAAAAGTTACCCGGAAAATGGTAGGAAAATCATCGCGTTCTATAGCAAAAGCTCTCTTTAAACATTTAAAACCTCTACACTTTGAACTTTACCGCTTGCTTTTTTGAACGCTTTTCCTAGGAATATGCTATGCAATATATAACCAAACTCTGAGAGGAATAATATTTTTCCTTAAATTCTTTTAAAAATATATAATTCTATTGTACATTAAAAAATATAAAAAAAACTAATTAATAAGAAATGGTGAAAATGATTATTTATATAATATGTTTGAACTAATTTAAGGAATTGATCAATTTTTTTTTAGATTCAAAATTATTAAATTTTCTTCAATCAATCTTATTATAATAAATAATAAAATATCTTATTATAATAAATAATAAAATAATAAATATGATTTTAGCAATATTATCTTACCTGTTCAGCGAGAATTGCATAAAGTTCTTTAGGGTTTCCCGTATCCTTTTTGCACCTGCCGGATCCATTCTGGCTCCGCAGGTGCTTAGGAAAGTGCAGGACGTGATCACTCACACTCTTATGTTCGCAAATGCTGTTCCTTCTCTACACTTAAATATTATCTTCTTATTACTTATATGTCTATATGAAGCACACCTGTCGCTTTTACTTCTATTATTTTTATAAAAAAACAAAGTTTTATGGAAAATCTTATAGTTTTTCTAAATTTATATATTTTTAAAATTTTTTAATTGACATATTTTTATAGAATATTATCAAATCACAGAACGATTGGAATAAAAAAACTCTTGAATTTTTTTTTAGTTTCTCGAAGATAACCTAACTCTTCTTTCACGAAAATGAAATGGAATTATACTTCAAAGCTTTTAAGTTAGCATTCAATTTAAAATTTTTTTATATATTATTAACAGAATTTAGTTTAGTTTTCTATAAGCATAAAGTAAAAGATAACCTAATTTAGATTTAAAACTACTTTTTTTTTAATGAATCGAATATATCAATACGATTGGAACTTCACTTTAAACGTAACTATTTTAAAATTTTGTTGAAATATATAATAATTTTTTATATAACTTTTTATAATCACATTGAAAAATCGTATTTATTCTCTTGTAAAATTAGATATACTCTACAATATAAATGTATCAGTTTGTTAAATACATTTTTGACAGTGAAAAGACAGCGTTCAAATTGAAGGTAGAAATCATCGATGCGTAACTAACTATCCGAACTTCCCTCCAATAACAAAAACACCTGTTACTCTGTTACAGAGCCCGCAAACACGAGATATTCTATTCATTTTCATATGGGATCTAAGTTATTCATCGTCTACTGTAATATACAGTTTTCTACATTACCGGAAATATTAACTTGCAAAGATGGCAGCACTTACCAAAAGTCGAATTTCTATAATAAATGATCGATAATTAAACTTCTATTTTTTAATTGATATAAATTTTATTATTTTATGTTATTAAATTTTATTTTCAAATTAAAATTGTTAAAATAAATTATTAAATTAATATTTTTATATATTTCTATATAAAATTTTAATAGATTATTAAAAAAATAGAACATATAAATATATATATTTATTATTATTGTTGTTATATGTTACATATTTTATATAACATGATAAAATTATGTCTTATTTAGTATAAAAATATAAAAGAATTGAAAAAATATAAAATATATTTTTTATCAGATTTTAAATTTTTTGTTGACCTTTAATATTTTTTGTTATTTGATTGAACAATCAATTTTCTAATTTTAAATAGTGTAATTATAAATATAAATAATTGATGACTTGATATTTAAAATGATGAATATTGATAATTACGAAATGATAACAATATTTACCAATAGAACGTTCGATGGACAATGTAACATGTAGTGTGTGTCAGATGATGGTGCGTCAGAGGATGACGTCAGCTATGATCTTGACGCGGATTTACAGTATCATTTTCATCGATTGGATTTGAACTTTTCTTTTTTTTTTTTCTTTTTTTTTCTTGCTCTTTCTATCTTTGACGTATACTCAATACTTTCATACTTTCATTTTACATGTAATAAATATTGATTGATTCATTGGAATACATTTAAAAAGATATTTTTTCAATCTATTAAAGTGCACGTCTATTTTTAATTTCAATTTTATTTTTAGTTGAAATTCAATGTTCCATTAGTTTAAATTTAATGTTTTTTTATACTGATGCTTATAAAATAATTGTTATAAAATAAAGATTATATTATTCTAGTTTAGTTTTAATTAATAAATATAAATAATAAAATACAATAAATATTAGAAAAAAAATACAAATTATACTTAACGATTTTATTGTCATTTTCAATTTTTTTTTTAAAAGAATAGCTAAAAGAACAGGACCTTCAATATCAAAAACACGACGAACATACAAATGCCTTATTATGCCTGGTTAGCGCTCGCAGTTAAACTATTGAATATGTGACTGGATTCCATTCCACAATTTCGTAAACTTTTTAAAAAATTTAATAATTGAAATTTTTATAATATTCTTTTATTTATAGTATCTCATTATAAAATATTCAATATTATAAAATATAAATAAAATATTTAAATTATTTAAATGCACTTTAATTTTGTTAATATAAAATGCATTTTTGAAAATTTTTCATCGTGTACAATAATATAAAGTAAAAAACACATATATTATATGCCCTCTTATTCTCATAGCTAGTAATCGATCAAAAATGGTAAATCATTGACATGCACTCAAACATCTTGTAGAAAATTCAGTAGACACCTTATTCTGATATTTTCATTGTGAAAATGTTTTTTCATCAACGTCGCTGATCAGAAAGCACGTTCACCTCGTGGACGAGGATGCAAAATGAACCAATGTAAATTTAGAACCGCCTTCTTTCTTCGTTTCGTAATAGGTTAAAAGATGAAACGTTTCACCGTGAATAAACTACTAACGTTTTTTTCCATTTTGTCTTATTATATAAAAACATAGAAAATCCACAAAATTTAGCAAATTTTTTTAACGCGATCATCTATAAAATAAAAGGAAACTTATCAATTTTTTAAATTTTTCTCAAAAAATTCAATAAAGACAAGTTTGATCTCAAGATCAAGGCAATCATAGTATTGCTCTAATATAAAAAAATCCGAATTGCTTGACGAGTCGGTTGAAATCACACGACTGGACCTCGGAGACCTGGACGTCGAGGCTGAAAACCTTGGAGCTCAGGGCCATTGTCGGGTGGGGCCTTTACCTCTCTTCCCTTTCCCTTTGATAAGTACGGGAGCCTTTCATCTCCTGGAACATGCCGGAGAGAAGAACTTCTGTGTGCACGAGAGCCTATGTCTTCAACATTGTTAAAGGGGGATACGAACACCAGGAAGATGAGCTATGGTAGCGTCGTCTTCAGACAAGAATCGAAATTGCATTTTCACTAAGGCTCGTCCTCAAATATGAACAAATCTTTCTTACTCTTCATTTTTTCTACTTATTTTTTATTTCTTTTTACGTTTCTTATTTCATTTCATTTCTCTACTCGTCTTTTTTACCATGCTTGTCTTTAATCTTGTTTTCGAAGAGTCCTTTTCTTCTTCTAATCCTTTCGTTCTCTTGTTTGCGGCTTGTATTCTTCAAGAAACAGCTAGGATCATGCGAATGATTTTGAATTCAAGGTTAATTCGACAATTTAAAGAACTATTCTTTCTATGAGAATGAAATATTAAAAATCATCCATCTTAGATAAATTCGTAAATATAATTAAAATATTTATTATTGATTTTTCTTAATTTATTAATTAATATGATCTTTAATATAGATGAAATTTATTTAACTGCACAATATCACAATTAATTGATTTAATTGTTTTTTAATAACCTCGCTTATTTAATATATCAATCTTTATTAGATAATATAATGATTATAATGAAAATGGCAAATTAAAGATTATTTATTAAAGTTAATAAAATAATTTTTTAAAATCACGGAAAATCTTAATAAAAGTTTGAATATTATTTAAATTCCATTAATCGGATTTTAACATATACAATTTATACTTTTCACATTAGAAACTTTTCCTATAATTTTTTATTATAAAAGATTATTTTAAATTCACATCATATGTGTAATTTGTAATCTGCTTAAAAAGATTAATTAAAAATTTGATAATTTAATCATCTAAAAGCTTATTGTATAATCAATTTCATATAAATTATAAATTAAATTTCAAATATAATAAATTATTAGAATAATAATAAAATACTTAATTTTAGAATTATAATAAAATTGATCTTCTCAATTTTCCTTATACATGTTATTTGATGTATAATTTTTTAACGTTCCTTACTTTCTTTTACAAAAGAACTTATTATTATAAAGAAACAAGCAAAACGAAATCACGTTCGTTATTGGAAATAAAGGCTAGGACTAGCTTGATTAAATGGCGTGCGAATGTCTTGGAAACTTTCATTGAATGTGGGCGGAAGCATGCATTTGTGATGCCCGTAAATCTTGAACAGGAAGCGAACGCGCGCGTATTCATGAATTTGCCACTGCCTTTCCATAAAAATTCTGATCACGCTGCTACAGCCCAAAATTTAATTGAATAAATATAATCTTATATTATTTGTTTTTATCCTTCAAACATAAAATTTTCCTTTGCACCAGCAATTTTTGTTTTAATTCCGATTAAACATTAATTTGTTTTAAATTACAAAACAGTTTTCAGAGAACAATATAAGACAATAACTTTTCATTCTTTTTATTCTATTAGGTTATACATAAAATAATTCTTTAAAATTAATTTTGATCAATAAATTTTAATATTGAAAATATATTTCATTTTTTTATTGCACTAAAAAAAAAAAAATTAACTTTTAATATTTATATTCTATGTTATAATCTATTTTTCAATTATTTTTTAAATTATTAATATCAATATCAATATAGATAAATTATTGACCTATCATTATTAACTATTGGCAATTTTTTTTATCTTTTTAATGAAAGATGTCTTTTTAATGATCAATGAGGCATATTATCTAGAACAAAATTAATGGAAATATTACCATCAAGATCCCTCGACGTGTAAATTGCACTTGGTAGCTTTAATTGGAAGACCGTTTGCAAGATGGTACAATCCGGCCTCGCTTTCATCGTTGCAGTCGCACAAAGGTAATTCAATTTCCGCGCTAACGCGCACAACCATGTATATCGTTGCGCATGAGTGTGATTACTTTCCTAAAAACATCAGTCCTTACAAACAACTAAGCAATAACCTAAATAAACAAATATATTCGCATGACGAGTCTTACATAAGAGTTTGGTATACAGTAACGAGTCGACATTATTCGCGTGACAAACTGTTCTTGACAAGAATTTACAGAAAATTTACAGGAAATTTTGATCTGATTATATGTATTTGCTATGATCGTTTTGAGAAAAAAATATATATATATATTTTTATCGCTTTATAAATTGCAATCGAAAATTGAATTGAATTTATTTTATTGAATTTTTTATTGAATTTTTTATATAATATAAATTTTGAAAATGATTTTGTTCATAATTTTTAAGATGAAATTTTGCTTTTTTCTAAATGATTCTTTTCAAATTTTTATTGAAAAAGAAATAAATAATAAAATCTTCATAACACTTTTTTAATATCATTAATAAAGTAAGCTTTATTAAACCACTTAATGATATCTATATATAACGAAGAATTATTGATTAGTATAGTTAAACAAATTTTTCTTTGCATTAATCACTTCTACTATAATAAACAATCAAACTGAATCAAATATCTTCATGATTATATTTTT